GTGGCTGCTGCCACCCAAGCAACAAGGGTCTTCCCTGTGTGGGCAAAGGTAAGCTGCGGCAGCCATTTTGTGGCTGGCTCTGCCTCCTGCAGCGGCTTTTTTGTGTCAGCCGTCTTGTGGCTGCACCCACCACACCACGTTGGAGTTCCAAAGGCACCCTCAGGCTCAAAAAGGTTGGGTTAGAGTGTTGGGTTAGACCCGTGGAGTCCTGGTTTCAAGTCTCCACTCGCCCATGAAGTTCACTGAATGATCTTGGGCCAGTCACTCTCTGCCTAACTTACATAACAGCCGTATGGTGTGGAGAAAAAGTGTGTGGGGGAGTTGTAATCATAGAATCATAGAGTTGGAAGGGACCTCCAGAGTCATCTAGTCCAACCCCTGCACAATGCAGGAAATTCACAAATACCTCCCCCTCCACACCCGCAGTGACTGCTTTTCCACGCCCAGAAGATGACAAAAAACCCTCCAGGATTGCTTCCTGACCCCAAAGTGGCGGTCAGCATTTCCCTGGGCATGTAAAAAAGGGCCACGAGAACTAAGCGCTGAGGCAACCCTTCCTGCCCTCCCTCTCACGATCTGCCTCAGTTCACAGAATCTGCATTGCTGTCAGATGGATATACAGCCTCTGTTTGAAAACCTCCCAAGAAGGAGAGCCCACCACTTCCCAAGGAAGCCTGTTCCACTGAGGAGCCGCTCTATCAGGAAGTTCTTCCTAATGTTTAGCCGGAAACTCTTCTGATTTATGTCCACCACCCTGATCTCCTTGGAGGAAGGACAGGAGCTATGTATACCATCCTGATTTACTTGGAAGACGGATGGGATTAAAAATGTACAGCTGGGCAGAGAGATGTCCTTAAACAGCCTGCAGCCAACACTGATCTCAAACATGCAAGGAACGGTCCACCTTGTCTCACAGGACTCCAGGTCTGAGATGTAAGACACCGGATGGCTTTAAAGTGGGATTCCATGTGTCTGTAGGTGCGAGTGTGGGATGAATGTGGCTATTCCCAAGAGCAGCGCTGCCTCCTCCTCAGAGCGAATATAGTTGAGATGTCATGTGACCGCAAAGGAATGCCTGGGGAGGGGCTGTAGCTCAGTGGAAGAGCATCTGCTTGGCATTCAGAAGGTCCCAGGTTCAATCCCTGGCATCTCCAGTTAAAGAGGATCAGGTCGTAGACAATGTGAAAGACCTCTGCCAGAGACTCTGGAGAGCTGCTCCCAGGCAGAGAAGACATTACTGATTGTGATGGACCAAGAGTTTGATTCAGTAAAAAGGCAGTTTCATATAATAGCAAGGTGTTTAGAGGAGGAGCCGTAGCTCAGTGGTGAGGCATATGCTTGGCATGCAGGAGGTCCCAAGTTCAATCTCCAGCATCTCCAGTTTAATGGATGAGGTAGGAGGTGATGTGAAAGACCTTTCTCTGCCTGAGACCCTGGAGAGCCACAGCCAGTCTGAGTAGACAATACTGACCTTGATGGACCAAGGGTCTGGTTCAGTATAAGGTGGTTTCACTGCACTGCTCAGATAGTCCAAAAATAATAATAATCTAGTGCTGTCAAGTTGCAGCTGATTCATGATGACCCCTCATGGGGTTTTCAGGGCAAGAGATGAGCAAAGGTGTTTTGCCATTGCCTGCCTCTGCATAGCAGCCTTGGACTTCCTTGGTGGTCTCCCATCGAAGTACTAACCGCAGCTGACTTTGCTTAGCTTCCCATCTGGGCTGTTCAGGGTGCTAGTCCAAAAATACCAGATAGGACAGTGGTGGCGAACCTATGGCACGGGTGCCAGAGGTGGCACTCAGAGCCCTCTCTGCAGGCACGAGTGCCATCGCCCCAGCCAGGTCCAGACCATCATTAAAGTGTCGAATTCTCTGCGAAATAATTTTAAGTAAATGAAAGCATTTGGGATTGCTTTCCTTACTTCGTTTGGATCATCTTTAGTTAATGTATGAGTTGTTTTTCCTAAAGTAAAACCTCAGTAGTCAGGTTAAATTGCCGTGTTGGCACTTTGCGATAAATAAGTGGGTTTTGGGTCGCAGTTTGGACACTCGGTCTCTAAAAGGTTCGCCATCACTGAGCTAGGAGCAGACCAGCACAATGCCATTGAAAGTCCTTCCATCCTAACTGTCTGGGTCTGCTGCAAATCTTCTGCTTTGGAGGGTATGGGTGTTAGAAGGATATTTTGGAGTGTTCCCTGGCCACCCAAACAGTGCAGTCAGTTATTGCTCTTATAATTTGTGTGTTTCAAGTTTGGCTCTTGAAAGCTGTTCCGGGAAATCACTGGCACGGCGGGGGTGGGGGTGGGGAGAGAGAGAGAGAAAAGAAACAACCTTTTGGCTCTTAGGAAAAGTTACTTTGACATGACACTTTCCTCACCCGTAAATACTCTTCAGTACATAAATCAGGGCAAGCTCTGCTAAGCTTTTAGAGATGGACTTGAAGGAGATCGATACCGCAATAAAACGGTGACACCGAAGAGGCAGCCAAACCAAA